CTTGTTATCTCAATGATGATCAAGAAAGTGATTCGTGAAGAAATTGGGGACGCAGAGTTTTGCATTATTGTTGATGAGGCCATAGATCAATTGAAAAGAGAGCTAATGGGTATCGTCTTGAGATTTGTTGATATTTGTGGATTGTTCAGGAGCACTTCTTTAATCTTGTACATGTGTGTGATACGAAGGCAATATATCTAAAAGATGCAATATTTTTCCATCCTTTCTCGTCACAATCTTGTCATACAAAATATTCGGGGTCTGGGTTATGACGGGGCGAGTAATATGCGTGGTGCATTCAATGGATTACAAGCACTAAATTCTAAAGAATGTCTATATGCATATTATGTGCATCGTTTAGCTCATCGGTTGCAATTGGCTTTGGTTGGAATATCTAGAGAAGTTATCCCCGTCCACCATTTTTCTACCAAGATAAATTCCATCATAAATGTGGTGGGTTCTTCTTGTAAATGTGTCGATGAACTAAAAGCGACCCAAGATTCTGATATTGCTTACTTGATTTCTACTGATGAGCTTGAAAAGGGGGCTGGACAAAATCAAATTGACAGTTTACAACGAGCAGGGGATGCACGGTGGGATTCACACTTGAGGTTAATTTCTAGCTTGTTGAAGATGTTTAGTGCAGCTTGCTCGGTTTTGTTGTGTATCATTGATGAGGGAAATTGTGGTCAACGAGCCAATGCAGATCAGACTTACATTTCTTTGACCTCTTTCGAGTTCGTCTTTATCTTGCATCTTATGAAATAAATAATGGAAATAACTGATACGCTTTGTCAAGCTCTCCAACGAAAATCTCAAGATATTCTTAATGTTATGCATCTTGTTGGCACTACAGAGAGTCTAATCTAAAAACTCAGAGATGATGGATATGACAGTCTTTTTGGCAAGGTAAAGTCCTTTTGTGAAAGTCGTGCGATAGACAGTCCCGCTGTTAATGATTTATATGTTGAAATGGGAGGACGATCTCGAAATAAGAAAAATCTATTTACCGTCGGTGATCATTACCGTATTAATAAATTTACAGTTACGATAGATTTTCAACTACAAGAGCTAGACAACAGATCTAGCGAGCATGCCGTGAAGCTACTTGTTCTTAGCTCTATGTTTGATCCTTGCAATTCTTGATTGTCTTTTGATATAATAGACGCTTGCTTTATTGTCAATGAATTTTATCCAGAGACTATACGGATAATGGAAAAGATTTATTGCAAGTTCAATTGCGACATTATGAGATTGATGTTCTCAAGCATTCAGAATTTCAAAATCTATGCACTATCTCTGATTTGTGCCAATGGATAGCTGAAAGTAGAAAACCCTTAATATATCCATTGATTTATAGATAAATAAGGTTGATTCTTACTCTTCATGTGTCTACGGCGACCACAAAGCGTGCATTTTCGGGCATGCCTATCGTTAAATCCAAACTTCAAAGTGAGATGGAAGATGAGTTTCTTGTAAATTCTTTGACTATATTTGTTGAAAGAGAAATTGCAAGATCTATTACTATCGGGTCAATCATCGAAGGGTTTCGTGACTTGATAGAACGTCGAGCACAATTCTAAAAGTCACAAAGTTTGAACGGTATGTATTTTCTTGAACTATTTTTTTTTTCTATTCTAGAAATGAAACATTGTCTTTTTAATGAAGTATGTTTTTACTAAAAATTACTTGATCCCCCCAATTAAATTTTCTAGATCCGTCCAGCCAAAAGGGTTTATAAAGTTTTAGTTGAGAGTAAAAGAGAGTTTAAAGTCCTTTGAGGATTATAGGATCATTCAGGAGATCATTTAGAACTCTAATTTTGACTTTATTAGAAGCTTTTACAGTCTAACGATCCAAATTCAAGTTAAGCTAAATTAACTGTCAATTGAAGGGACTAATTTGGAAAGTTATCAAGAGACACTTATAGTTTTTTTTTTTTCATTTCAACAATTGAGTTTTAGCCTACTCAAAGGCATCTTATGACGATATAGCTGCATAATATTATCACCATGTTGAGGATGATATTAATACCACTAAGTTAAATCTTGACCGTATTATTTTGCCAACAAAACTATTCATCAAGCTTCCTATTGATAAGGATAAAATTCGTGTTGATAAATTTGCTATTGAACAGATAAGGATGAATTTATGCTAGAAATTCATGACTCTATTAAACAAGGTGTTCTAAAGTATTACCACTTGAAATATTATATGAGCATGCTGCTCATATAAGTGTTACTATGGATAATACCGTACTTTTGTGAGAGTTGGTGTTTAGTGTTACTACGGATCACAGTTCCGACACATTTTTTATGAAGAAATAAATATAATGATTCTGTAACTCAATATTCCTATCATTTTGGATATGTCATAGCGTATCTGAAACACTTCTACTTTTTTTGTATTAAATAATAATTGTGCGACCAATATGCGTCAGCTCAGCTATCATGTAACAATGTGTCAAAAAAGATCTCAGATAATAATAGACGAACTATTTGTATTCTTTTGGCAATCTGTCGTAGTGTAATCTCAGAAGTTGAATTTACTCGTATAAAGAATCAAGTTTTTTTAGACTAACCAGTCATCATCTTTTTAATGACAATAATAAATGTATCGCGTTTCTATCGCATAATAGTCACATAATGACTCGCATTTTCATGGCAAACCAATCATTCGAACAATCGTTATGTATGAATACTACAAATACTACATAAATGGTTATGAAGCAACTTGAAGTATCAATATAAATACTACGTGAATGAAGTCCGAAAGTTTCATCCACATACCTATCACTATGTATATAAATAAAATTGAATGCATTTCGTATTTTTAATGGTTAAGATTGTCTATCTCTACATCTCGATCGCAGGATCATGTATTAAATTCATGGTTTTCGTCTTTGATTAGCGTATGCCCGATCAATTCATACAAGTCATCGTCCATATCATTTTTCATAAGGTTCCTCCGGTTGTTGTTCTCGGCCCAGCCCACGATCCTTCCCTTCGTTGCTTTTGGAATTTCCATTCCTAGAAACTTTTTGACGCACTAAATTTAAGATGTTGAAAACTTTCTTCATGTGGTTTTGGTACAGTGTTCTCGTGTGGACAACCTTTCTAGGGCTTACACAATAGGTTTTAAATTGAGGTGAAAGTGAAAAAAAAAATAAAAACATGTGCAAAAAATGGATATGCGACTAAAAATACGACATGCATGCGATTGATCGAACCGTTGCATAATTTTTACGCACGTCTCAATTAACTCTGCCTATCTACCGCATATTTTATGGAATAATGATATCACACTTGCTCAATTATCTTCACTTTTCTATCGCCTAGTTTATCGTATAATTATTTCGCATTTGCTCAGTTAACTTCGCCAGTCTGTCGTATAGTTTATCGAGCAGTTATTTCATACTTTATCAATTATCTTCACACATAGTTTATCGGATAATTTGTTTTGCATTAGCGAGGTGAAAATGTTAACTTATAGTGTGAAAAACTCATGATGTGTTTGTTTATTAAATAATTCAATTCATATTCAAAATTTAACTAAACGTTAACCTAATCTCACTAGTATTTATATTATAATAGGGGAAATTCCATTAGAAGGCTAACTTTTTTATATTGTATCAATTTAAGGCTTGAATTTTATTTTTTTTCAATAGAAGACATATATTTTAGGTTATTCTTAATTTGAGGCTCACTTTTTAGTTAACTTTCCATTGTAAGGCCCAATTTACTTTGTATTTTGATATAAATATGTGAACCAATTAACTTTATTTTATAATATAGTTATGTGAATTATAATAATTTTTATTTAGTTTATATTTTGACACTTATAATAAATATCTTTAGTAATATTTAGTTAATAATAAAGTGAAACTATATAAATTATATTTATGCAAAAGTTTAATCATGAATAATTTTAAAAAATGATAAGTGAATTCAAAAAATATGTAATGGAAATATTATTATTTTTAATAGTATAAATATGTAATAAAACTAAAAAATAATATATAAATGCAATCTGCAAAAATATATCATTTTCAACAAGCAATGACATAGTATCAACTTTTGCTTCCAAAAAGAAAAGTTAAAATCCTGAAAAATTAAAATGAAAGCAATATTATTCAGATATTATATTTTAGTTTTAGTACATATTTAGATTATTAATAAAAATAATATTTCAATTGCATATTTTAAAATTATCAATTTTAAACAGTAATTAATATTAAAATTTTGCATCATTGGAATTTATATAGTTTCATTTTCTAGTAATATAATTTTACTCATGATATTTATTATTTTTTTATTATAAGTATGTAAAATATAAATTACAAAATAATACTACTTCCTATTCCTTTTAAATGTCGTTTTGACTTTTGTGATTCATCCATTTTATTATGTATCTAGACATTAATATATCTAGATACATAACAAAATGGATGAATCAAAAAAGTCAAAACGACATTTATAATGAATAGGAGGGAGTAATAATAATAATACTTTTATTTACATAATTGTTGTTTTACATATTTATATAAAAAAAAGTAAAGTTAGTTGGGCCTTATAATGAAAAGTTAACTAAAAAATAATCCTTAAAGTGAGAATAACTTAAAATTTAAGTCTTATGTTGAAAAAGTATAAAATCAGGCCTTAAATTAATACATTTACTAAAAGTTAGGCTTTCCAATATCCATTATTATAATACTACCAATAAGCCATTTCTTACACAACTCATCAACTTTAATTTAATATTTTAATTTTAATTTTAATTAACTATCACTTTAAATCCATATTTTAATTACATTTAGTTCAAATCAACTTTAATTATTTTATTTTAAATATTACATAATATAAACTCAAAATTTCAACAATAAAGTAACAATTAATCATATTACATTTTTCAAAATTAATTTTGCTTAACCAAAATAAAAAAATAAAAACTTACTGTATATGTATGTATATGATATGATTATTGAGTTCAGTGTTCTGGCCATGGGTGCTTCCGAATCAGTTCCTACGGGTTCCCAGGTAAAGCCTACGTCTAGCCCCGAAATCCATGGTTGATTTCATGAATTTTGTATCCCACTCACTTCCCCTTTTCCACTTTCTACTTGATCTTGTTGAAATTATCTTAAATTGTACTGTGTGTTTATGAAGAACCCGGAAGATGGGATCACCACAGTTTCGGAGCGTACACAAGGTGTTGACCCCATTTTGCAGAGACTTGAGTCACTCCAAATTGTGGGTTTTCCCTCATCGTTTTGTCTTTTATTTATTTATTTATTTTTTCCTGTTCTGCGTGCGTGCACTCTGAATTTGATTCTAATTCAATATGTGTGTGTGTGTGTGTGTGTGTGTGTGGATAGAGCAAGCCAATACTGACCACAGCCCCTGCAGAGGGTACCTTGACTGATATACTCGTCCCGAGATCAGTTTCTTCTTCCACTTCTGGTAACAATTTTCTTACTTCTTTCGTTTTGATTACTTAAACCCTTTAATGTTATTGTCCTTCTTGGCTAGTTTGTGAAACTTGCAACTGCAGCATTTGCCGAGTGGTATTAGTTATTTGTACCTTAGTATCGTACATTGCTGAGAAACTTATCCATATTTCTATAAAGGAATGGTTAATTCGGGTAGTAAATTGTTACTTCGATTTTCCTGGTTATGATGGCTGTCAATGTTGGATGACCAAATTGGAAGGATCATTTATTGGGTAATATAGAATTTCTACTTGCTTTTATGCTGGCAAAAAACACGAGGGGCCGAGGGCATCGAATTGCTTCTATTTTGAATTTCCTAGTTCTCTACTGTCTGTGCCTGCCATTTTTTGAGCGTTATTTTTCTTGTTAGCTAGCTGTCTGGCTTTTAATACGGCTAAACTGTTACTGCTACCGTGCATCCTTGGTATATTAGAATTATTCTAGCTGTTTCAGCTGCTCTATTTGAGTCTGTGCAAAGGGAAGAGTTTTATATACTCAAAATCCAATGGTTCTGAGCGATTTCAATAGCAGTTAGTGGTTATTCCTTATTACTGCAAATCAACCACCAAAACTACAATGAATAGTACATCCATTACCATTCCTTAATACTATTAAGTTCATGGGCATTCCCATTTCCATTCGTGGACCACGCACACCCTCACTAATGGTTGATGTAGAAATATATGAACATGGGTGCTTCTGAAATAATTTAAACCTCATCTCCAGTCAGAAGTTCCAAATCTGTTCCTAATGAGAGGAGAGATGAAAATATGGTCTGTTCTTAGTCAAGAGTGTGGTTGCTTGGCTTTTTCGTTAGCTCCTTTCTGTTATTAAATAAATTGGTATGAGTCGATAAATTGAGAAAGAATTTCGAGAGTGTCTTTGTGTATATGAGATGAAAATGTAATGATGAGAACTCTTTTGGCCTTTTCCCTTTTCGTTTCCTTTTCCTTTACAGATAAAATGGTGGATTTGAATAAATCTTCTTGGTGGAGACTTTAAACTGGAAACCTTACTTGAAATCCTAGGAAAGAAAAATGTAGTTGCAAATGTGCTGTAAGTGTTTGTGAGAGTTGTTGTGGAGTTGCCAATTGACTTGTGGGGGTGGGAGAAGTGTCATACAACACGTGGGGAAAGAATTGGGTGCGAGCAGCTATAAAATTCATATATTCAAGTGTAACTCTGGCGTCATTTCTCCCCCGTCTAATAGCATTCTTGTGAAATAATAGCCTACATGAATCTAGCTTGCTGCCAAAATATTTATTTCTTCTTATGTTTCAACTAGGTGTTGTAAATCCTAATGTACTACTGGAGCTCTTCTCAATGTATCGTGATTGGCAAGAGGAGAAGGCCCAAAAAATAAGTAAAAAGCAGGTTTCTACTTTCATCATTGTGTATTACAATTTATAAGTATGTCCTAATCATACATGCCATCTTATGAATATTTCTGATGCAAGTCATTCTTTTTAATGTGTCTCCAGTCCCAAAAATTTGTCGTCTTTGGACATGTCTAAATATAGCTAACTTGGAAATTTAGTAATCATGAACTCAAAGGTGTTTACGTATTATTTAATAGCCAGTACATTTAAAATGATGGCAACTATGCCATCTTTTTAAATATTTTGTACTTAATTCTGAATTACGTAAAATATATTGGACCTTGAAAAAAATTCGTTTAGTCAACAATTGAATGTCAACCCCTGATTAGCTGAGTCTGTTTGCACGATTATTTGCATTGATTCTTCATGGACTATGTAAAATGGTCCCTAGTACTTACTTTCCATGAAATATTGTTGATTGATGAATTGATGCCATATAATTTGTTAGCTATAATCCTAACATATCTACGAAATATGGATGACTGATGATGCAAAATAAACTTGTTAGTTATAGTACTAATAGTTATTGTTCTGTAAGACCTGTAGAATTGAAAACTCCTTGACTCGTTTTCTTGTTTGTTTATCTTTCCATCCTTGGTTATCTCTAGCACAATAAAGACGTGGTTCTGTTTGCTATATGCACCTACTTTTGATATGCAGGAAGAGATTGAAAACAAAATAGAAGTTGTGGATGCTTTGGCTGTGAAGCTTCTCCAACGTTTCAATTACTCAGCTTCATCTATGAAGACAACATCTAATCACCTATCAGAAGGTACCTTGTGAATGTATCTCTGTACTGAATATTAGTTGTTATTTTTTATATCAATGGATTTATCTGGAGCTTTGTTGACTGTCAATGTGAAAAGTTTTTTTCCAGTGCTAACTGGTTATGGCATCTAATGATACTAGGGAAGAACAACTTAAATTTTTTACTATGTTTCTTGATGAGATGAAAATTCGGTCACGATAGTGAATTGTTCTGACCATCTATCATCTTGAAAATGTACAATCAGTCCATGCCTTGCAAGTTGAACTTGGAGAGTTAAAAGGGAGATTAACTGAGGTGATTAGCAATTGTGATGCATTGTGCAAGCGGATTTCTAGTGAGGGTCCAGAATCGCTGCAATCTTCTGTCAAGCCATTAACAGCAGTAGTAGCCTCCACCACCAATCAGTTAAAGGAGCAATAAATAGGGTTTTTGCTTATTTTCTTTTGCTGGGCACATGATAAGCAGCCTTATCAGCCCTCGCTAAGTTGTACTTGATTGTTTACCCACTTGCTATTGTGGTTTTGCTTCACCTTTGGAGACAACGTCTGACCACAGTGTCTTGTTAGACTTGGTCCACCAGGGGTTCCAAGTCCGAATCTTTCCTTTGTCATGTGAGCCATGTGACATGAGTTCATAGTATTTGAATGTAAACTCAAATAGTGATCCGTATTGTAGTTACTATATAAATATTGATGCGAATGATACGAATATATAACTTTGTTTAATTATTGGTTCAATGTGTCTGAGTTATTGATATCTGCATGTTCTCTCCACTACTTAACTAGTTGAGTAGCCTGGAAACTCATAAAATTTGATGAATCATAAGTAGCAAAAGGTAACTATGATGAACTATGCAAATGCCAGAATCAAAACATATTGCATTTTTCTAAATATGACATTGGCCAAGAGTGCCGAATGCTCGAGTAAACCACGTTTACATTTTGCAGCAATGAAGGTGACTCCCTCTACACCAAAACAGTTGAGAAGATCAAATCATGAAACACAGTAAGCAGCAGACACACAAGCTGATAAACCTGACCAGTTGTAAAAATGAATGAGTGAACCACCAAAACCTTGGCCATGAGCCGAATTGAATGCAAGCTTTGGCCCTTGTGCCCCTGACATTCTATCCAGATCTGATGCTTTAGAGACTCGTGGTCCATTTTTAATGCCAACGAAATTCAAACATAAAAGATCACTCACCAATCGAACCATTATCCCTTAGTTACAAACAAAATAAACGGTCACCATTATCCATTACTATACAAACAGAATGAGCTGAAGCTCTGGATAAATACTTGCAACTGCTGTTAACTGTTGCATACTTTTGATGCGCCATCAACATGGAAAAAGAAAATTCAAATACTGTAGCTGCTAAAATGAGCTGATACTCATGAGTTTCCATCATTAGGCTGAACAAGAAAAGTACAGAACCACTAAAATAGAGTAAGATGATTCAATGTCACAATTACTCAAGATCCCGAAAACAATAACACCAGCAAATCCAAGTAAGCGTACCAAATTCAGTATTGATCAAACAGCATAAGCAGCAATATAGTAATGCTATAACAACACCAGTTGCCTCATTGAACCCACAATCTGTCTCACCAACCAATGTGATGAGAAAAACCACCAGTGTGCTACGATAAACTCACTCTCGTTACAGATTCCAATTAGCAACAAAGATGAATCAGAGTCTCATTAGTGAAAGGAAAAAAGAAGCAATTTTTCTTTTTAAACTCATTATTCAAAACATGAAAATCCACTGTGTCTCAAGGTTGTTGCTGGGCATCCATATATCCAGCATCAACAAGCACCTTCTCCCTCTTAGCCAGCTCAATATCCTCATCCACCATCATCTTCACCAGCTGCTCGAACCCAACCCTCGGTTTCCACCCAAGCACTCTCTTTGCCTTGCTGGCATCCCCTTTCAGATTATCGACCTCCGCTGGCCTCAAGTAGCGCTTGTCGATCACCACGTGGTCCTTCCAGTTGAGCCCAACATAACCGAAAGCCACTGCCAGGAACTCCTCCACCGTGTGGGACTCCTCAGTGGCCACAACATAGTCATCAGGCTTCTCCTGCTGCAGCATGAGCCACATGGCCTCAACATAGTCCCCAGCAAAACCCCAGTCCCTGGAGGCCTGCAGATTACCCAGGAAGAGCTTGCTCTGGAGCCCGATTTTGATCCGGCCCACGGCCCGTGTGATTTTGCGGGTCACAAAATTCTCTCCCCTGCGGGGGGACTCGTGGTTGAAGAGGATGCCGTTGCAGGCAAAGATGGAGTAGGCCTCGCGGTAGTTGACAGTGTACCAGTGGGCGGCGCACTTAGCAGCTGCGTAGGGGGATCGGGGATGGAAGGGGGTGGACTCGGACTGGGGGGGAGGGGTGGAGCCGAACATCTCGGAGGAGCCGGCCTGGTAGTAGCGGACGTGGGAGCGGCCGGTGGCGGAGATGTGAGAGCGGAGGGCCTCGAGGAGGCGGAGGGCGCCGGTTGCTACGACGTCGGCGGTGTAGTCGGGGATCTCGAAGGAGACGGCGACGTGGGACTGGGCGGCGAGGTTGTAGACCTCGTCGGGGAGGATGGTGTCGAGCCAGCGGCGGAGAGAGGAGGCGTCGGTGAGGTCGGCGTAGTGGAGCTTCATACGGGCCTTGCCGGCGTTGTGGGGGTCGATGTAGATGTGGTTGATCCGCTGGGTGTTGAAGTTGGAGGACCGGCGGATGAGGCCGTGAACCTCGTACCCCTTCTCCACCAGGAATTCCGTCAGGTACGATCCGTCCTGACCCGTGATCCCCGTAATCAGCGCGATCTTACGGCGATCTTCAGATCTGGAATTGTCGGCGGCGGCCATTGCAGAGAGATAGTGGAAACTGCAAATCAAAGTGAGGAAAGGGGGGAAATGAAGTTTCTTTGATATTTACAGAGGGAATTCTCTCTGTAGATGTTTCACTGTTTCTGTCATCTAAAGTAAAGAGCCATTAGTATAAGCAAATCTAATTTCGCATTATTAAACAAAAATAGAGGATGCAAAATGCAAATTTTATTATTTTATTCTTTTTCTTCTCCTTTTTTTTTTTTGTGTGGATTTCTTTGTACAATACGAAGTAATTGCCACTTTTTGAATTCTCTCTTAGGGGAGCGGCGACTCCCTCTTTGAGAGATGAGTGTTGATTCTTTCGCCGAAAGTTAGATTGCTCGGTTCAGGAGAGGGTTGGTGGATTTGAACAAAGGGGAAGGAAGCGTTTGTCGTTTTCTCATAATGGCATCAATATTGGGTGACGAGGAGGAGAGTAGAGGGATAGCTGAGGAAATGGCTCAAAGGATGAAGAATTTTTTCCTTTATGGAGTCGAGAATCTAGTAATTGACACAGGCGCGAAGGACATTAAAGCAAGCGCGGAGGAATGCAGTCAGAGTTTTGTGGACAAAGTGGTAAGTAATCGACGAACATCATTGTTAGGGCTACGAAGGACGATGGTACCAATTTGGAGAATCCAACAAGCTATTGCGGTAAAAGAACTTAGTCCTATTTTTTTTTTTTTCAGTTCATATTTGAGAATAGGGCGGATTTGAAGAAGGTTATGTTGGGCACAAATTGGATTCT